ATTGTGGTTGAGCGGGTCATCCTTCAGAGTCATGTTTTGACCTTCATCCAAAGTTGAGATCTGGGGGTAGAGGTCATGGTAGAGTTGCTCCACTAGGCCGAGGGGGTCGAGGTGCTGGTGCAGGTGCCATTAGACATCCTGTAGTGGGTGCTACTTCTACCACAAAGGCCGCTATGGTTACTCAGATTGAGCAGTTGGAGCGGAGACTTGCTGCTATGGCTAGTTCTTGAGTTGGAGCTTACACTTCTCACAAAGGAGAGTACTTCTCTATTTGGCAAGTGCAGCCCAGGTTGAGGCATCAGTTGTAGTGACGAGAGATGTTGCTCGTGCTTCAGAGCCACATGGTGTGATGGTGGAGTTAGATCCTCTGAGGGGTGAGGGTGAAAGACAAGTTAGGCTTTGCCAGTCATTCCTGTTGTCAGAGGTTGGCATGACTTTATCCATGATTCCTACATCACATAGTGATCCTTTAGTGCGGAAAGAGTCATCTACATCACATGTTGTGAGCGCGGAGACATCATCTAGAACAGCAATGCAGATGGCTACTTCGATGATGAGATGTCCAATGTTTTCAGCCACGGAGCTGATGGCCTCTGGGGTTGATGTGGCTCGTGTATTTTGTGTAGCAGCCACGTTGTTTGAACGTGGAAGTGTCACTAGTACAAGTGCCGAGATACGCGAGGATATTGTTGGAAAGCAACCCTCAACGCCTACACTAAAGGATGAAACGACTTGGCAAGCGGCAACAGCAAGGATGGAGTAATTACCAGCCCGGCCAGCCATTGATCGCAAGATTATCCCTGGTGTGTGTATAGTGGACAATTAGAATGGTTTGTTTCGCTTGATGAGTTCTACAAGATATGTGTATGTTCCAGCTAGAGTTTTGCTTGACTCTAATGCACAACCCTTGATGTTGGGCATTAGTTTGGAAGTTCGGAGATCTGAGTTGGAACCTTGCATATTCAAGATCCAGACATCACTTAGAGGTGCCAGTGATAGGTCATACTTCATGATTAAGAAGAGCGTATCAGTGCAGTTAAGGCATGATGACGCACGTGATAGATCAGAGTTTAGAATTTGCGCTTTGGTCACATCACAAGAATTGTATGATGTGCTTGTTGGAGGAGCAGTATTGTATCCAATGAGTTTTCAGATGGACTATTGGACAGAGACATCAGCCTATCGCCCTGGTTGGCAGTTAGAGGATGGACGTATGAGCGAGCTACCTGGAGCTCGACCGCTTGGCTCTTCTCCTACGGTATTGGCATCCATTGCAGGATTTAGCGGAGTGCTTGCGTGGCCTGACAACTTACTGGAGGGCAAGATGTTGGCCAACAACACTCCAATCTATGAGGATGTGGAGTAGATTGTGAGCCTTGCAGCAAAAGTGTCCTCTTCCTTAGAGATTCCACTTTGGCGTTCTTGCCATGAATTGCGGCTGTAGGCTGATACGTTGGTGAAGAAGGCTTGGAGTGAGGCTTCTTTACGTGAGGAGAAAGAGAGATCTCAAGGTGGTCAGCCTCTTTGTGATACTAGTGTGCTATCGCCATTGATCAGTAGACCTATTGCACGGGATTATTTTCTAGAGGCTGTGTGTGTGTTGGATCTTTTTGGTGGGATCATGTTACCATCTTTAGTTAGTCAGAACTAAAGTAGAGGTTACTCTAAATGTTGATATAAATACTATAGCGTGCACTAGTCGTAACTGCCATGTTAGCGATCCGCGCACTTGGTATGTAGAGAGTTTGTGTGTTAGTTGACAGTGCCACGTCAGCAATCAGTGTGCTTGTTAGGTAAGGATTGAATGTGTTAGTTAGTGTGTTAGTTGGGAGCACCACGTCAGCGATATGTGTGCTTGTTAGGTTTATCCGCCACGTCATCCATCCACTAGAAGTGAGATAGATGGTGGGGATAAGATCTTATCTCATTGTACTTGTTGATGAGAGCTATATGTAATAACATATAAATACCAAAATGGAGCATAATGATAAAGATTCGATCCTACGAGGACAGAAACATCACAAAGAGTACCAATTGTCACGTTCTTAACAGTCTATTGAGGACTTTGAATTCTCAGGCTTCTATCACTCCTAGAAATACCGCAGATGCTCAACTTAGAGGTCTCTCCGAGGACACACCATGCAGTGTAAGTCACATACACACACTTGAAACAAGTAGTTGCAAAACTCAGAGGTCGATCAGGATCTCAACTTAAGAGTCAGGGGGAAATCTCCCAAGAGTATACTCAAAGGGTCTGCAGGCAACTACCAATTACAAATTTGCTTAAATCCTATCACTAGCCAATCCTATCCGAGGTCTGAAGTTCCTCACAGCAGAAGTCCGAGGTATCTCACGGCCAAAGTCCGAAGTACCTTACAGACGAAGCTCTTCCGCGCCTTCGTCTATCCATATCAGCCACTTTCGACACTCATAACTCAGTGATCCCTTATCTGTTTCAAGAGTTCTTGGACTCGTTAGAAAGAGTGTGCCAAGTTCTATCTATCAAAACCCTAACTAAGTCAAGACGATACTAATTGAAAACGTTATGAGGTATTTAATCTATCAGATCTCTCAAACTTCTCATTTCGAGAAAGAAAAGAAAAAATAGGTTACCACACTATACAAGGAAGTGTAGAACTATTGTTGGTATCTCTCATCTTCAGAGTTTACGTTTCTATCTTCAAGTGAATTTCTCTCTAGACCCTAATGTTACAATGGTATCAGAGCGACCTTGCTCTTTCCTTGAGTGTTGTCATGAGATTCCGTCTCTTATTAAAAATAGCAGTTGGCCTAGGGTTTCAAGTCACGTAGGGTATAGGTACAAAAATGACTCGAAGAACGTCAATTCTTTGAGTCGAGCCTAGCGCGTTGGGAGTAGTGCGAGTAGAGCGAACCGTTAGCGTCGACCTGGAATCTCTCTAGAGTGGGTTGGGATTGACTTTGTATGTGACGTTTGTTGCTAGTGGGGTAATCATACCGACGAGAATTCCAGTGGGGAAGATTCCGTGTTTTCACTCAAAGAACTTGTTTTTGTGACATTTTGCGATCATTGTCATAGTTTCAAGTTTCTATTCTTTTCTTCTTGTGTGGAATGTGCCGATGTTGTGAGAGTTTTTCCTAGTCCTGAAGAGTGGGATGACCAGGTGTAACGCGCGGGTGCATGAGAGCTCAAGATTGAAACGTATCATGGTGTTAAGGCTTTCTGAAGGTCAGAATAATGGAATGTTATAGTTGAATTTCCACTGTTAGTAGCTTTGATGAACATGGAATTCAAACGAGAAGAAGAAGTATGGTAAACGAAACTTGTTTATTGTTTATTATTTTATGCGGAGCTCCTCGCCTTCAGTCGTGCTCTTGTTCATTACCTCCTTGCAGATACTCGCCGAGACGCAATTCCAATTCCACAAAAGGAATTCAAGCCGCAGTTCACTCAGCTCCCGTCTGAAGGGTCTCAATTCCTCGTAAGGCACCTTTAAGGGAACCAATTTCTTCACCTTCTCACTTTTCTTGGGCGTCATGTCTTCAATTTGCGTTTCGCTACTCGCGAGTTGGATCGACTTCGCTTTTGCTCTCTCTCGCTCGTTCTTGCTCGATATCGCAATGTCGGCGCGAAGACTCCTCTTACTGCCTTTGCCTTCAAAGCCCTAACATTGACTCCTTCCGCGCCCAGTAGAACTCCCGACGCGTGCGAACATCGTCTAGTCCGTTGCGTGATTTGAAATTGATTACGATGTCTTCGCCGAAGACGTAGCTCTTCGTACGTCCATAAAAGGTTGCGCCGAAGACACAAAGATCCGAAGATCTTCGGACGTAGACGAATTCCAACTAATTCTATCATTTCTCCTCATGAGCTGCTCATTCTAACTCTAACTACTACTTTCTAAACAAATATCTTTTAGTTTTGTTAAATTTTAAAGAAAAACGAAAAAACTAGGCACCACAATCCACTACGTGTAACTCGACCCCGGTCCTCGGCAAGATCATCAAACTCCTTCGTGATGATCATGATCAATGTGATGACTACTCCGTGATGACTTGGATAGTCCAAAGTGAGATCAAAATTGAAGAAAAGTTGTAATATGTGTGTAAATATTTCAAGTTTAAAATCCAAGTTTTAAATTTAGATAGATCAAATTGAACAAAAGGTGAAATATTTACACATATTACATAGATTATGGCAGGAAGTATACTTCAGAGTAGTTTTGAAGTTATTACAAAGAGTAGGAGAGTATTCATTTTATCATCACAATTTATACTCTCTAAAAGAGTGTTGTTTTTTAGAGTTTCAATCAAATTGTGTTGAAAAAGCTGGACATGATGTTGGGCCAAATGTTAATATTGGAATATATTTGATAAACCTTTCTTCTTCTATGCAATTAACTTTTTTCACCATGAATGATAATGGATGTGATGACTTGGTATTTGAAGTGAAATATGACAAAATGCAATTGAGATTTACAACCGATAGCACTCCACGAACAGCTACTAAAGTAGTTTATCAACATTATTTGGAGTACATTAGGCACAAAAATGTAGTTTTATCAATTTCATGTTATTCTATGTCTGTTTATTGTGAACAAGATAATTTATTTGTGGGATTTTCTACTTTATATTATTGCTCGGCACAAAACTGGATCTAGATGCTTGGAATCGAATAAATTGTATGGTTTAACATTGATAAGAGTGAACTTATTTGTAAATGATGTGATAGAGCAAATATTCAGAAAGAAAGAATAACAAATATATGTTACATGTCATAGGTATTATGAAATTATACTAGCTCGTAAAATAGACTTGGAGAATTTGTATGATTTATTATAACTAGTGCATTTTTATTTAGATTGTTATATCAGAGACTTCATTGTTCTAGTGCTCTTTGTACTGCCTATGGATTTATCTTTTCCCCGGGTGTATTGTGTTATTCAACCTTGTGACACTTTGGATCCCACGTGCTTGATCCACTTGCCATTTATATTTCTTCTATATAAATTCTTCACATACCTCTTGTTGTTTACCTTGTAAAACCACCAATGTTAAACAACTTATCCGATGGGGTTTGCTCTCAACTACTAGTGCTGCATTAGTTTTTAAGAAAATACAATGTAATGGATAAAACGAAAATGACGTCCCGCCCCAGAACTTCCTTCCATTGTTCCTCGAGTTCATCAAAACGTATCACCACCGAGCATGATTTCTTCATCCGAGCCTAAACTGAACGAGGAGACTTTTATTGCGGTCCATTCTGAATCGTTGCACAAAAGCACGGAAGCACAATCGGACCGAATCACGTTGTGGACGAGGGGACCAACTGCGACGACGGTCCGAGCCAAATAATCGACTCACGAATAATTGGGATGGTGGACGCACGATCGGCGAGGCCCGAAGATGCAACAGATTTCGCTCGGTCTCGGCGGACGGCCGCAGCCCGCAGATATAGGCCGCGAGGGCATGGAACCAGGAGGCTCACATTGACGAGGAATATTGCACATGATTGCCAGGCACAGAAACCACATCCGGTGATCATATCTTGCCACCAGCACAATTAGATCCCGATGCTGTCTTTGGGCGTGGCGGAGAATGTGATTTGGAATTTCTTCCAGGGTTCGTCGACCATCCGTCGAACTCGTGGACTTTCTGTACAATCTGGGCCTTGTCCTGCACGCAAGACTCGCTCGGCGTGTGTGTGTGCAGACGGTACAGGAACGGCCTCCCCGTCTGCGAGCCCTAAACCCTGACCTTCGCCTTCCGCATGCTCTTGTGGGTTTGTCCTCGATCGTACTCCAGCGGAGACTGGGGTTCGAGCGCGCTTACTAAGCGCTGGAATTGAGGAAGGGAACGAGGGAGCGAGCGAAAACCCGGCATGTGGAAAATCTAAGTCGATCGTAAACAATCCGGTTGTCCTGTCCCTTCCATGCTATTGATCGGACCGGCTTGCCGGCCGGCCGGCTGGCTGCACCAACTCACCTCTCACTCGACGCAATGTTGCATTTTGTCCTTTGAGGATAGATCCAACATGATGTGCACTGCATTGCTTTAGGATACTTCCTTGTACACATATGTACTTAAGTATCTTGTCATATCAGGCCTGCTCTAGCTCCAAATGATGGACGGAGAGATACTTTCAGCAGATGAAGAATCCAGTTTCTCTCACTTAGGGTTTTACGCAAGTAGGTGGAATAAAACCTAACCAGACCTTGCCTCGCCTTGCCTCTTGGGATATCGGGAATCTAGCAAATATCAAAGCTCTCTTACTTTATTGACTTTATCCTACTTTTCGAGGTGTAGCTAATTTGATGTTTTCGTCACATGATCTCCATTGCTCCTCGAGGAAGTAGGGTTTCAGTTATTATTGTTTTTGGTTTATCATTGTGAGACAGGAACTTTTGTTTCCCGCTCGACTATCTCGTGTCGATAATATCGATTATCTTTTTGTTCTCGTTGGTTGGATTTGGCCTATTCTGGGATTTGGGAGCCCACTGTTCTTTTGCAGACGAAAGGGACACCGAGTAACTTTTGCTAGTTAGGAGGTTTGTTGTTCACGAGGCCTTACTTTATGTTCCTATCTTTTCTAAGTGCTGCCCTATGTACCTTTCCGGCCCCATACTTGTCCACTTTCCTCTCTGCTTTAATCAACTTGCTCGAGATGCGATTATTTCGATTTTGAACTTGCACACTATCCAATCAAGTCAAAATTGAAATTACACGCGTTTCACCATATGCCAGGAATGAGATAAGCGGTCTTGCCCTCTGGAGCTCCATGCGTCTCCATCGTCCTCTCGAGTTCAAACGTCGCTTGTACTTGACCTGATGTCATTGTGGTCCTGATTGCAGTCCTGATCTTTGCGCTGGGGGCAATGAGGTGAAACCGAGACGCGTCAATTGCTGGTTGAAAACTATTTCCATTTCCAGTTCGTTCCTTGAGAGTGTCTCGTGCGTAACGATGCGAACCCTAGTGCGAGTAAATTGGCTTAAAGCTCAACAGTCCAGTCACTGTGGCCACGCACGACTTTCGGAGCCCTGGAGGAAAAGATGGAAGCTCTCGCTGAGCGCTTGATTCCTCAATAAATCGACACACGTCGAGCGATAAATTGGATTCAAACATGACCTGAGGACAAGGCAAAGCAAGGCATGATGTTTTCTCTCCGATGTGACTAGACAGATATTTAGGCCCTTATCATGCCACCCTTGAAGAGCCCATCATCCGAGCTCCAGCGAGACTTATCGAGCAGCTCGGAACTCAGACAATGCAGCTGGAAACCTGGAACCCTCCCTCGGGCCGAGTCAGAACTCGACAGAAGACTTGTTTCATTTATGGTGCAACTTGCCGCGACGAATCAATCCGTGCATAAAAATCCGGACGGATCCACCACACTTTGCGAAGTCGCCCTTGCTTTTCTCAAAGTGTGACAAGTTTATCCACGGAAAATTGTACGAGACGAGCAGGCTACAAGTTGGAACACGAGAATAGTAACTGAGATGTCAGGGAGATCCACCGGGAACCACCTGCCATGGCGACGAGGCGAGCCCAGTCTAATCTAGTCGAGTCGAACCGCCTTCGACATGTAGGAATCGGTTCCCTCCAAAAGGAGGCGACTTGACTGGGAGCGCAGGCAGTGCCGCTGTCGAGCCATGGATCCATGTGTAGGAGGGGGTGCCGACTTTGCCTCGATGTGCAACATCTGAGCCGGCCCGCCCTGGCCTCGGAATCTGCTGAGGTCAAAGCGCATGATCATCGGCACAGGCCGGGGAGTCAAGTCGAGGCGAAGGCAGCAGGATTCGGGAATGAGTGCGTCGGATCCAACCGCACGTGAACACCACACCGAGGTGACCGAACAAATCAGCATCGCCTTTTCTGCCTTCATGTCGTGTCACCCACTTTGGCCTCGCGGATCCGAACCGGAGTCTACGTGTTCCATCGAGTGTCACCTTTTTGTCCTAGGCCCTCTGACCCACACCACACCGCTTTACCCTCCGGATTACTCCAGCCCCGATCTCGGATTGCTTATCCTGAATCACCGCACTGCTCACCACCTAGCCCCCTCCCCAGGCCCAGGCCCAGCCCCCTGCTAGACTAGGCCCCCGGGGCCTGCAGGGCCGGCCTGGCGCAGATTCCAGCGGCCCGGAGCTCGACCTGGGTTCCCACAGAATTTATGTTTCCCCAAGTCAAGCGAAAGACGCGAAGGGCTTCCGGCGGTCCGGTCGCCCCGGTTGCCCCGGTCGACGACCTCCGACGGGCGAGGCCCTCGCGGTTCCTTTCTCGGCGCTCTTGCGCTCGTCACGGGGTCGACCCTTTCCCGCTTACCGCGCACACAAATGCCGTCGGAATCAAAGCCTCCTCAACCATTTCCGCCATGCACTGGTTCGTGTGTGTGAACGGGGCTTTTCTTCGGGCTTTTATAATCGCCCCGATGCGGACGTGGGCACCGAGCAATCAATATCGCGCCGATGCTTTTCGTTTCTCCCCCGAGGCACGTCAGGCCCGTTCACACTGCGTCGTCGGGACTGCCGGCGAAGGGAAATGAACAGGCGAGGCTTCCGAGGTCTAACCCTCTCGGTACTAGCCCCAAGCCCCAAGCTCCCCAAGCCCCAAAGCCGTAAGCCCCGCGAAGCTCAGCGAGATTGGATGTCCTGTCCGGGGGGTGTAATGACGGGCGGGGGGAGGAGGGCGGGACGGGGGTCGTCGGAAGCCATCGTTTCGCGGGACAGCGGAAGAGTGCCGAGCAAGTCATGCAGGCCTTGACATGACCGGCTGCCGCGGTGGGCTCCGGGCAGGAGGAGAGACCGCGAGGCGCACTGTGCGGGAGCGCGAGGGAGGGGGCAGCGGTAGGGGCAGGCGGAACAAGCCAAATCGTGCACGCATAGGGCTTCCAGTCTTAAGCCCCCCACCCGGCGCAGGGATAACCTTTGACGGCAGACATGGATAAGAAAGTATAAAAGAGCTCTGAGCAGTAAAGCCGACGTCGGGTGGTGGATGGAGCCCCGGGAGGCCAACTACCGCTGTACCACCGAGGCTCCCCAACGGTGGAATCTCTGCGCCGCCGGGCGTCAACTTGTTGACCGCGGGCCCGCCAGCGGATGGAGCCCCGCTCCGCTCGACCGACGGTCGCACTTGACGGCGCAATACGAGTTGGTTCCCCACGGCAGAACGCTTGCGACCTTCGCTACGGACCGCAGGTCACGTCGTCCGCTGTGCTGGGAGGGGGGCTGACGTTTTTTCGGGGTCCGTTCACGGAGTTCGGGAAGCGCGGGGCCCACTACCCTCACGTTACCGCCGTTCGGCGAGAGGATATTATGTCGACGGACGGACCGAATTTCGGTGCCTTCTTCCATTCCGGTTTATTCTCTTGCCCGAAGGACGCCCTACCGGTCCGGTCCTACGCGCTACCGCCTATGAAAAGGTTTTTGTCCCTGCGCGCGAGCCAACCTTCCCGGTCCAGGACTCCAGGATATCGAGAACCCCTTTTACCCCCGCTCCCCCCTACCCCCTTGACCATGCACCATGCGCAGGCACCGATCGCCCCTTCTCTGGCCCGGATCGCACGTGCCCTTCGTGCCCTTCGTGCCCCAAGCCCTCGGCCTTCCTCCCCCTCGCTGCCCGCGGGCACCTTCCCCTGGCCCCTCGGCTCTCCAGAGCGGAGCGGTACACAGAGAGAGCCGGCCTGCTCGCGAACGCGGCGCAATCCGCTGCTCGATTCCGCCCTATCCCCTCCCCAGTTGACGCTGCTCCTAGCCCCGTTCGGTTTCCCCTTCTTTCACATTGCTAAATTTGTGTGTAGAATCCGAGCCTTCTCTCGGTGTCCAAAGTGTACAGAGAGCGGTGCTCGGTCCTTCAACGAAATATAGAACATTGCAGAATGGATCCAAAATCCTGGACTATTATAGTTTAGTGTAGATTATAGTTTATAACTGATGTAGTGTAAAGGACAATTCAGCCCTTGCAAGAAGAAGAATCTGACCCCATGTGACTTGTTCTAGACTCCCTCTCACGTGTTAAAGACTTGCACTGTGTTTATGGTTATTTTTCCCGTTATAGATTATGTTTGTGTGGAAAATATTTTCTGCAACCTACAATCTCATTTTTTTTTCTATTTTTTTATAAGTTGAATATACGCAAGACATTTTGAACATCACTATGAGCATGTAAATAAGACATAGGAAGCATATTGCAATGGACAAAGCAATGTGTTTAAGAACTGTTCATCCTAATCTTCTTCTGAATTCTCCACTTCAAGCTTCTGTTGAAGACATTCAAAAAAACTCTTCTCAAATAACTAAAAAAAAATTTATTGTTCATACAAAGTCAAAATTTTATCTGACAAACCGTTTCTTTCACCAAAAAACATGATAATTTTTTTCTGTTACACAAAAAAATGTGTTATATTTTATTTTTTCTGTATTCAAGATTAAATTAAGAGATTTTTTCACTTTAAATATTGATCATGTGTACTTTAAAATTAGTTAAAATATTTTCTTCTTTTTTGGAAATAAAAATTCAACTTTAGAAATATCTGAATGTAAAATAAAAATAAAATTTACTTAAAATTTATTTCAAAATCTTGAAAAACATTACATATTGTATACTTTTGGAATATACAATATGTATTTTATAATCCAAATTCATGCAATTATTTTCATTATTATAATACAAAGCAATAATATTGATATGAAAATAATGTAATGATATCACGTCATTTTTTTATGATAAAATATTATTTTCAATATAATAAAAATATTTCTTTTATAGCTAGATCATTTTTTGTCACTAAATAATTATTAAAACATAAATTGAAAAGATATGAGGTTGTAGTATACTGAATTTTATAAATTAACATCAAAATTTTCAAGATCAAAGTTTGAATGAATATTTATATTTTATGGCTTTGAAGCAAAAAAAATCCTCAACAGTTGATACAGACAACAATTTTATGATAGAACAACAAATTAATTAAATTGAGAAATTAATCAAATTAAATATTTCAAAGGAAGATCAAAGTAGACTAGGAGTGAGTAGATCTCACACACATTACTCAGAATAATGCTTGAAATGAAAAATTTTATATTGATAATCTAAATATTAGTTATAATTAATATTGATAGAAGTGAGGCTCAATGTTATCATACTCTATATATATATTTCAATTACAATAAAAACTTGCTTAAGTCCACATTCATATAAGTCTACAAT